TCCGTGGGCGACCAGGACCACGCAGAGCCCCACCCCCACATCCCGCTGGACTCCGAGGTCACCCAGGGCCTGAAGGACCACCAGGACCCCGGCCCCTGGCAGCCCTCCGAGGACCCCCAAGAGCCCAAGGTCACCCAGAGCCCCTCGGCCCCGCTGGAGGCCAAGGGCAACGAAGACCCCGCGGCGCGTTCGGACCCGAGGCTCCACCAAGCCCCGGTGGCCACGCGAGCCCCCCAGGACCACCCGGGCAGCCGGGCCGAGCGAGCCCCCCAGGACCCCGCAGAGCCCAAGGTCAAGCGCGGCCCGAGGGTCCCTCGGGACCCCAAGGGAGGCTCCGAGCGCCACCGACCCCGCGAGCCCAGCTGGGCCAGTGCAGCGCCCCGCCCGTGTGCCCGGGTCCCCTCGGGTGCCCACCTGGGCCTGGTGCTGATGACTTTGGGCTCTCTCCTGCTGCCGTGCGCCCGGGGCTCGGCGCTCGAGTTCGGGGGAGCCCCGGGGCAATGGGCGCGCTACGGGCGGTGGGCACCGGGCACGGGGGGCCAGCTCAGCTTCCGCCTCAAGACCAACGTGACGCGGGCGCTGCTGCTCTACCTGGACGACGGCGGCAACTGTGACTTCCTGGAGCTGCTGGTGGCCGAGGGGCGCTTGAGGCTGCGCTTCGCCATCGCCTGCGCCGAGCCCGCCACGCTGGAGCCGCCGGCTCCCGTCAGCGACGGCCGCTGGCACTCGGTGCTGCTGAGCCGGCACGCCCGGCACGCCGCGCTGGCCGTGGACGGCGAGGCTCGGGCGGCCGCCGTGCGCTCCAAGAGGCCCGAGATGGCCGTGGCCAGCGACCTGTTCGTCGGGGGGATCCCGCCCGACGTGCGGCTGTCGGCGCTGACGCTCAGCACCGTCAAGTACGAGCCGCCGTTCCGCGGGTGGGTGGCCGACCTGAGGGTGGGAGACGCTCCGGCCGCGCTGCTGGGAGCGCAGGGGGTCCGGGGGGACGGGGACGAGCGCTGCGCCCACCACCCACCCTGCGCCCACGGCGGCCGCTGCACCCTGCGCCGTGGGGAGCCCCGCTGCGACTGCGCCGGCACCGGCCACCGCGGGCCCTTCTGCGAGGAAGGTGAGGGAGAAGAGGGGGTCACGGGGCTGGGCTGGGCGCGGGGTGGGCTCGGGAGGGTCAGCTCGTCGTGGTTGTCCTCGTCCCCTCGTGGTTGTCCCCGCTTTCGTGGCGGTGTCACCGTGTCCTTGAGTCCCTCCCCATGTCTGTGCCATGGCACGTCCTCCTGCTGTCACCTCCTCGTGTTGTCCCCGCGTCCTGGTGGCTCCGGGCTCCTTCCCGGTGCTGGGTGGTTTTTGTGTTTCTCCATCCCTCGGTGTCCTCCTGCCTTTGTGTGTCCCTGTGCTTCCCCCGATGGCACGGCCCCGTGTCCTCGTGGCATTTTGTCCTTGAGCCTCCATGGCTTTGTGTCCTCGTGGTGTCCTTGTGTCCTTCCCGTCCTCGTGGCGCTGGACACGCCCGCGGCCTTGAATGTCCGCGTGTCACTGCTCATTGTCACCCTGTCCTCGTGGTGCCAATCATTGTCACCCTGTCCTCGTGTCACTGCTCATTGTCACCCTGTCCCCACATTGTCACCCTGTCCTCGTGGTGCCATTGTCACCCTGTCCGTGTGTCACTGCTCATTGTCACCCTGTCCCCACATTGTCACCCTGTCCTGGTGTCACTGCTCATTGTCACCCTGTCCGTGTGTCCTCTGTCCTCTCTGTGTCCTCCTGGCCTTGTGTCCTTGAGCTGCTCCAGGTCCTCGGTGTCCCCCCCGGTGTCACCCCGTGTCCTCGTGCTTTCCTGCCATTTCTCGTGTCCTGCTGTCTGTCCTTGTCCTCATGTCCCTCCGTGTCCCCTGCTGTCCCCTCACCCTCAGTGTCCTCACCCACCCCCATTTTGCAGGTCCCCGTGTCCTTGTGTGTCCTCGTGTCACACGGGTGGGTGGGGGTCGCTCCTGGGGGTGGGGGGGGGACAGGGGGATTTGGGGATCCCCCACGATGTCACCCCCCCCGTGTTTACCCACCCCGGTGTCCCCACACGCCCTCGTGTCCCCGCCTGTCCCCACAGCCTCGCGCTCCCCGCTGTGATTGCACACCCTGGTGTGGGTGGGTGTCCCCCGAGGTGACACGGTGACAGTGCCAGCTGGGTGTCCCCGAGGTGTCCCCTGGGTGACAGTGCCAGCCCCGTGTGGCCCAGGGAACCCCCGGGGGTGGCCCAAACACTGGGGGGGGGGTCTCTGGTGCCACCTCCCCCACGTTCCCAGGACCCGGGGACAACCATCGGTGTCACCGTGGCGACAGCATCCTCCGGGCGCGTTGCCAGGGCCGGTTGCCATGGCGCCGCCGGGGCTGGGTACCCGTTGCCATGGAGACGCCCGGGCCTGTCTCCCTGGTGATGGTTGTCATGGCACCGCCGGATGCTCCCGCCACGTCCTTGAGGGGGGACGGG